GAAAGACATAAAGCCAAGGAGGTCTGAAGGCTGGGAGAAAATGAAATGGTGACAGTGAACTGCACATCAATGAGGTTGAGGTCTGGACAGAAGGTTATTGGAGGACCTAGAAAGACAAGAGACTGTGGTCACGGAATGGGCTGTAGGAGCTTGAGATTCCAGGGTGGGTGTGGTGGTGGGCATAATAGACTGTTACAGGGGCCTTCATCAAAGCTGATGAGGTTTATGAACTTTGGCCCAGTGTCATGCAGGGTATCAGGAATTATCAGAAAGGGGAAGCCAGCATGGTGTCACATGCCTTAATGAAAGAATAAAGGCAGGACCGAGGCCGGAAGTGATAATAACAGAGGTAAGTAGGCATGGAGTGACCAACGTGGTAGAAAAGGAGGGAATTCGGAAAGAGGGTAGAAAAGCAATGGCTGTGAAACAGCAGTAGGGAGTTAAGAAAGTGAGGACTCTCCCTCCTGCATGACCAGGTCCTTCTACAGTGTCATGCCAGCTGCCTGCTTGCTGCAGATGGCATGCTTTTATCCTCTCCTTGGTTGGGTCTGCTTGGTCCTCATGGGCTTAGTATCAGAGAACTTCTGGGAGACAGAGACAACATCGGTGAGCAAAGCTCTTGCTGCCCTAATTGGTGTAAAATGGATTTTGCCAAATACGGCAAGGGAGGTGACAATGGTATACTGATTTGCTAGGGCTGCTATAACAAAATGCCACAGGCTTTGTAACTGGAACAATAGCAATGTATCTTGCCACAGTTCTAGAGACTCAAAACCCAGGATCAAGGTATTGACAAGTTTGGTTTCTTTCTAGGCTTTTCTCTTTGGCCTACACATGGTTGTCTTCCCCATGTCTTCACGTGATCTTCCCTCTGTGTGTTTCCGTGTCCTCACCTCCTTGTTTTATAAGGACACCAGTTATATTGGATTTAGGGCCCACTCTCGGGATCCTGTTTTTAACATAGTCACCACTTTAAAAGTCCATTCTCCAGGTACAATCACATTCTGAGAAAATGGCAGTTAGGACATTGACAGGGAAGTTTTTGTAATTTTTTTTTTTAGAATTATTTATTTTTGTTTTATTTCTTTCTTTCATTTTTTATTTTAATTTGACCAGAGAAAGACACACACAGAGAGAGCGGGAAAGTAAGAAAGGAAGCCACCAGGTCCGAGACTTGAACCATGGTCGGCCATGTGGGAGTGTCCAGCGACTTAACCACCACGCCACCTGCTGGTCCCGACATGGAAGTTTTTGGAGGGGACACAATTCAGTCCATAATAGTTGATTTATTTTTTAATAGGAGCCTTTTTAAATTTATTCTTTCTTTGAAATCTCATAATTACATAATGGCATGGCTCAAAAATGATCACAGTTCACAAAAGGTACAAAAGTGCAGACGAGGAAAAGAGGCCTAATTTTAGGATCAGGAGGGCCTGAGCTCCAGCCATCAATCACCCATCTATGAGCATATGTAGTTTCTCTGAACCTCGGTGTCTTCATCTGCAAAAACATGTGACTAGCACACGCGGTGATGTATATAGAATTATCTGCAAGATACTAAGTACTGGGTTGTCAGAAAAGTCCTGACGCATTTTTGCATAAAAAATACATTTTGACTTTTCCAACAACCCAATATATTTCATCAAACCAAGATGCCATCTATTAGAAGATGTACCATTATGTTGTATGCTATGTACAAAAAGTGACAAAATCATATATTTTAATTTTACAGATTCAGGGAGCCCTACCCCAGAATTATTGAATTTAAACTTCCTGGGATAAACTTCAGAGACGGGCATTTTTTCCATTTCTCACGTTATCCTGACAATCTGATAGGCTCAGGAGACATGGTTTTTGCCATATTGGCAATCAACGTACCAAACAACCTAAAATTTAAACTGAGATCTTTGGAGCTGTTTATCAGTGTCCTAGGTATTCTGTAGGAAGCCTGGCTTTTAGGCGTTGCCAGTGAAAACCCATTGCCCAAATTCTTTACATTTGTAACACATTTATGGAATTCCAGAAACTTTGCTCAGGAATTGCATAAAACAAATACTTTGGTAGAACATGTAAACGAAAACCTGTTACGGTGGTCAGAATGCTGTGACGTTTACTCTCTTAACTAGCTTTTGGATCCTTCTTCCGAGGACAACCAGGTGTCAAGCCCCCCTGTCATTCTACACGTTCATGGCTGAAAACAACACACTGTTCATCGCTTGCGTGCATTTCTAAGTCATTGTTTTCAAACTCCTTAAAGACTAGTTGAATCCTTTTACACACTATTGTTCTGACCTCGGGGATTGAATTCTGAGGAATGGTAACACTATTATGACCACAGAAAAAAAGTGTCAAGACCATGAAGGCTTCTCTGGATGCCTTCCCTCCCTTCACGGGTCTAGCACTCCACCTAGCAGCCCCTACTAAACATCATTCCCTATTCTTCACATCCACAGCTACATGCTTCATTATCTCGACTGAGTCCAATCTCCTGATTCACAGTTGAACAAACTGATGTCCCTGTTCCTAAAAAACATAGATGCAATAACTCACTCAAAGTTACATACATGTTAGCCCAGGCCTTCTACTCCCAGACCAATGCCCCTTCTATTCCTCCCACCACCTGTGATCAGTCAATGACACTTCAAGGATCTTCATCTAAAGTTCAAGACAACATCCCAAATGCAGTCCAGGCCAACAGCAAACTGCCCAATCATGGCACCCAGATCATTCGGTGAGACACATAGTTCCCATTTTCCCTCAGATTTCATCTGAGCCTTGGCTAACTCCCAGGAAAGCACACATATCAGATCTCTGTATATTGGCAGAACTTTGGCTTCAAACATATTTCAAATGCCTCCCATTGAACATTGGCAGCCTTGAAAAAACATGGCCAGGAAATTATTCCAGAAAGCCTAATTGCTCTCTGACACTTTACAAGGGAAAGCCGATGTCTTTCCCTCCCAAGCTCTTCCTTCTCTGCCCAGAACAAAAGAATGCATGTCCCAGTCTGTGCCCTAAATGAGGAGAGGGCAAGCTCGGCGGCGGCGTGAGTTGAGGGAATGTCTTTATTGGGCAGGGCCCTTTGCACAGCACAGTGTACATTTTGCCAAATTCTTTTTCCTTCGCTTTTAAAACCCTTGTGTATTCCAAGAGAAATGTAGTCCATGTGTTTCTGATTCATTTACACTTAAATCATTAAAATGTTCTTTTGTGAGAGTTACTTGATGTCTGTGGAGCCTGTGAGTCTTCCTAATGTGAATGTTAAAGACTTTTCCCCATCCTGCCTGAAACAGAAAGCAACATTTTGCTAAAATAGGGCCTGAGTTCAAACACATTTTCTCCTCTCAAGTACTTGCACTTGCTTTATCAACCACAGCCTCTTAATAATGCCAAGCTTGGCAAGACTGACATTCGAAAGTGTTAAAATAGAGAAACTGGAGAGAAAATGGAGCAAGAATTCCAGCAAAAGTCAAGCCAGGACTCCCCAAATGTGCCAGTGGGGCGTATAATGAAGGATGCACATCTGCCACCTGGATTAGAGTGGCTGGTAGCCTGTTTGCACCCCACAGGACAACTAAATAAACCACTTCCACAAGCATAATATCATGTAAGGGTCATGGCAACCCTCATTTCCCAAATGAGAAAGCGGGATCAGAGATGTTAAGTACTGTACCCAAAGTGCACAGCCAGAAGGTAGAAAAGAAAGATTATAACTGATTGAGTTTAATGCTCTTTCAAAATGGCTCAACTTGAGCTCCTTGGTGAATAGTGTGTGTGTGTGTGTGATGTGAGTTTATGTGTGTGTTTAGAATTCCATGTGTACTGTAAGGTATTAGTGAAAAGAAGTGTAATATGGTGGGTAAGAACTCAAATTCTTCCATCACTTTCTAGCTGTGTGAACTTGGAAAAGTTATTCAACCCCTCTGGGCAGTTTCCTCATCTGGAAAATGGGATCATGTGACTACCCACCTATAGAGATAAATGAAGAGAATTAATACATTAATTTTTTTAGAATTATTTTATTTCATTTTATTTATTATTATTATTATTATTATTATTATTATTATTATTATTATTATTATTTTAATTTGACCAGAGAGAGAGAGAGAGACAGAAAGAGAAAATGAGAAAGCAAGCCACCAGGTCGTGGACTTGAACTATAGTCAGCCATGTGGGAGTCCAGTGTGCCAACCACCACACCACCTGCCGGCCAATACATTAACTGTTTAGAGTGATGCTTGGCATGCATGCTCAATAAGGTTTAGCTATTTGTGGTAGCAGCAGTAGAAAGTAACAAATAGCTGGATAATCTTGAAAATTGTATCGTTTTTCCAAGCCTCATTTTCCTCATCTGCAAGAGACATATAATAGTAGAACCCTCACAACTTAGTGAAAGCTACTGGGGTGATACTGTGTCCTGCACAGTGCTGGACTCAGAAACAGAGCTCCAGAAAACCCACACCCAGACATCCTATTCCGATTCCGCTTCGGTTGTTACTGTCGTATTTCTCTTACTATTCCGCTCAGCTCAAACCGGTGTGGCGTTTGTCTCCAAACCACGGTTACAGATGTGGATGCAGGCCCAGGTCTCTGGGCACGGGGCACCAGGCTTCCTCCGTGTGCCCGGCGGGCTTTCTAGGCTGCCCGCTCTGCGCTGGTAAACAACATGGCCAGTACTGCCTTTAAGTGGGGAAGAACAACTAGCCAACTGCAAGACGGTGCTTCCTCACTTTCTGGGCCAGCCACTCGCTTCACAGGAAAACCTGTGGTTGTTTGAAAACAGACTAAGGCTTTGGGATCTGATATTTTTGTTTCTCTGAGTGTAGATGCTAGAATTGCCTTCTTAGTTTAATTGGTGTTCTTTCGCTGGTGTCTTGAAGAACCACAGAAAATTATAGCCAAGGGAAACTGACGAGAAATTAAACTTTGCCCCCTTCATTCTACACACACACACACACACACACACACACAGTGATGCAAATGCCTATCTGAGCCTCTTAGCTATTTTCTCTCAAAGGCTGGAGTCAGACACACATGATAAAGGAGGGAGCAGGAGGAGCAGATCTTTTAAGGAAGAAGGCAGATTCTGTTCTGTCAGGTTCCTCCTGTGTGTAAGAGCCAGTCAGAGCAGAGAGAGAGAGAGAGAGGAGAGGAAAAGCCATAGGGAGAGAGGGGGAGAGGGGATCTGTTGCAGGCAGGGAAAGGCGTGACCTGAATGGAGAATGCCAGCCAATTCCAGAGACACACAGGGACCTCAGAACAAAGATAAGGCATCGCTGACACCACACCAGGACGAGCTCAACAGAGAAGTCTGGCTGGGGGGACCAAGTCCAGGCAACTAGGAGCGCCCAAAGCAGAAAAATGAGGTGAGTGGCAGAGCAGGAGAGGGCATGGTGCCCTTTCGGGGACCAGGTGTTAAGTAGCTGGGAGGGAGGGTCTGACCTTGTCTCTGGACGTCTCACCTGTGTGTCCTGCGGCTGGTGGTGAGGAGGTGTCTCATCAATTTCTTGGGGCTCTGCAAAGGGAGCTGTGGGCGGGCTGGGAGCCTTCCCTGGGACTCAGAGACATGCAACTTGAAACGGGAGACTTTGTGCAAATCCTGGTCCTCCGGACTCTGCTGAAGCTCAGCTTTCTCCCCTGCCAGCCCTGGGTGCTGCTGGCTGGCGAATGTGACACTCCTCCAGTTGCCCGCAAAGCTGACTTTTAATTTTCTTGCTTTGCAAAAAGCATTGATTTATCTCCTCTAACACTTTGTGACTTAAATATGTGTTTGTGTGTTTATTTGTTCTGACCGGAAAAGAAACCAGCTTCCCACAGCTCGGCTCTGTGGTTTCTTGAACCTTCAGAAGTTTGCCAGTTAAACCTCAATTTAGAAAACTAAAAACCTGTCCCCATTTTACAGTTCCCTGTACATTTCTGCATTTCTCGCTGAAATCAGAGGCAGCTGGTGGCATGAATCAGGCTATGAATTGCACCAAATGGCTCTTAAAGGGATACCATATTTCCTTTTTTAAAAAAGGAGCTTTTGGAGTTTCAAATCCTAGGACTTTAAATTCTAATCAGTTTTAAGCCCTTCAGTTTTTCTTTTCTTTTCTTTTTTTTTTTTTCATCTTATTTGATATTTCTTACCAGACATTCCTAACAAGGTCTCTTCTTCTACAAGTCTGAAAACTCCATCACCCTAATTAGCTTTATTATTTATAAGTATTAATGCTTGTAAAAATACACACAACACACACACACACACACAAATACACACACACAGAAGAAACACTGCAAATGTGTTAAAGCCCTAAAGTCTTCTTTTCTTGTTAATTTTCTTTTCAATTGAGAAAGTGCCTCCATTTGATTCCTCTTATACAAAGTCACCCAGCCAGTTTGCTGGGTCTATAGCCAATGAGGGGCTTCAAGAATATTTCAACTCTGCACTCTAATTACCTGTGGCTCAGAGAGAAAATCAAGTCCTTAAAACTAATTCAATAACTTTGTTCTTTTAAAGCCTACTATACATTTAAATCTGCCATCAAACTCTATTTTCCTTTTTCTGAAAAACAAAACAAAAGAAAATGGGATTTATGCCTATCTACATGGAATGGCATAGGAATTACCTGTTGAAGATCTAAACCTCACACAACCACTCAGCGCCCCAGCTGCACCGACATGCAGGACTGAAGAACAGTTTGCATTTTTGTATGTGCTCAACACTCTACCTGGGATGACCTTCCCTCTTACTTTCTAGCTAGAAGACCTGCGTGTTCAAGCAAGCTCAAATATCCCCTCCTCTTCCCTGACCACCATCCCCCAGAGTCAGCCTCTCCTTTGTTCCCCTGTCCGTTGGACCTACATCTCTTACTGTCTTTGTAGTATCTCCTTGTGTAAATGTCCACCGCCCTTTACAAGACAGAGTGCTCCTTAGTAAGCGAGCTGTATCTTTAGCTCTGTACAACCAGCTCCTGGCATAGTGTCTGTTTCTATTAGGCCTTCACTATATATTGGTTGGATTGAATTTGCTTATTGAATAGTGAAGTCACTACTAGAAAAGTGGTCCACTAACAAGTCTCTAAAGGGTCTTACAAAGCATTTTCATGGTCACTGTCTCACCTGGTTTACAGAGTTTGGATGAGGTAAGAACTTACAGATAAATGAGAATAAAAGTCGTTAGACAATTTGCCCAAAGCCACACTCATGGTTTTAAAAAGGCCCAGCCTCAATCTTGGGTCTTTGGCTTCTAAATTTGGGAATTTTTCTTTCTTTTACATTGCACTACTCTCAACCAAGCATAGTATTTTACACCGATGGCTCTCAGTCTTGGCTTCATGTTAGAATAACCCTTGGCGCTTTAAAAATTGCCAATGTCCAGGCCTCAACCCAGACCAATTATACCAGAAGCATTAGTAATTTTTTTTTTAAATTTCCACAGACAGCCAATGTGTTTTTAAATTATTTTTTACAGGATTAATTGCTTTGGCCAAATGCCTGGGCATGATATGGGCATGGACCCAGCGTTTCTTGTGAGCTTTGTTATTCCCTTCTTCTGTTGAAGTTAATTCACCATATGGTATTGGGCATGATGTGACATTCCTTGGGGTGTCTTTTCATCATTTGTCAAATAACAATGCTGTGTTTGGGATCTATGCAGTCCTTTCAACTCTTAAACTCAAAAACAGAGTCTTGATGTTGTTTAGGTTGAAGCGAGGGGCTTGAATGAAGAGGAGAGACAGTTCTATTCATTCCACAAGCATAGACACACACAGGCATTTTTATGTATTCCTGATAGCCTGCTCCTACAGTGGAGCCTGTGAAATCCCAGCTCTATATATTACTTTTGACATTTCAAGCAAATGTAGCTAAACTTTTTGATTAGCTGGAGGATAGATAACAGGTGTCAGAAACTGTACAGCCGGTGCCTGGCACATAAGAAGCCAAAAACATTCAGGGAGTGTGATGAGGACTGAAAGCTGCCACTTAGATTCTTCGATTAACAACCCCTAAAGCAAGCAAGCAAGCATATGCTCAAGCCCATTTTGTGAAAGGAGATATTTGTTTCATATGTTTGAGACTGTTTTGAGATGCAAACAAAATAGAATAAAAAGCCGCACAGGCCTTCCTCCCACGCTGACCAGTTGCCTACCACAGATGGCGCTGGGCCTCTGGGCTAGATGGGGCTGTCTGCCACCAGCGCTTGACAGAACTGGCCTGAGGAGGCTCCGAGTCTCCTCAATGTGATCTGGAAAAAGCAGACATGGAGAAAGTTGACCTTTCAGCCTTGCATAATCTGGGTGTCGCTATTGCAGGAAGTTTGATTCTGGAGCCAAAGCTCATTCCTAACTCCTGCTTTTCGGGAAGCAGCATGGTAGAGTAATCGTAACTGTTTGCCTAGGCTGGACAGTTAACAAAGCCTTTCCAGCCCTCCGGGGGATAGCAGCCCTGTGGGAAGTTATTATTACTGCCACGAATGAGTGAAGAAGCAAAGACCTTCCTGATGTCGTAGGGTAAGTAGAAGAAGCAAAGTCAGAGCCTGCAGTTGAATCTAGCTGTTCGGCCCCAGGACCATGCTCTACCCTCTTCAGCATGATTAAGTCTAAACTCCCAGCCCTGGCCACATCGGTGCATTCTCTCACTTAAAAGTGGAGGTTTCTGCACTCAGCTTTCCTACCCATTCACTGGACAACTGCCTTCTCTTCTCTCTGCCTCTGGGGCCCTCCCTCTACAGATGGGATTAAAATAATATTGACATTGGCTATTGGACAAAGGCATTTCTTAATAGCACCTCACCTGTTGCTGTTTTTTTCCAAGAGGCCTTGGAAAAATGTAAATAACTTTATTTTCTTTTTATTGAAAAAATAACACATGGTTCTTCAAGACCAATGTTCACATTTATATAGACAAGAATAGAAACACTTATGCCCATTTTAGAAACAACCACTTTAACACCTTGGTGTATATCCTTTCTATGCACATATTACCTGAGATAGGTAATCTATGTGTGTCGTTATCTTGCTTTATTTACATATTCAAAATTTCACATATATCTGTATGTACATATATATGCAGCTGAATGCATAGGCAGGGAGTTATTAGAGTGAAACAACTTCTTAATCAGTTAAGTTAATCCAGGGACCAGTAGATGGCGTAATAATTACGTCACTGGTAGTTGACTGCAGTTTGAGTCCTGGACCCAGAGACTTAAATTCACGCTAGGCACATGTGCGTGCATGCCCAAGATCCCAAGAAGAGAATGGAGGAGAAGGGATTGTGATGTGGCCATCCCCCTGGGGGTAATTTCTTGCTTTCTGTCTCTCTGTCTCTCTCTCTCTGTCACTCCGGTGAGTACATGCGCCCTATAGCTAAAATCTCCCTTTCAAAAAATAAATTAAATAAATAAAGATATAACTTAATCTGAAGATGCTAGTGTACTTTCCCAGCACTGACTTCTTCCCACACTGAACACGTGTATGTGCACATGAGAGTAAAAGAGAGAGAGATGAGTCCCCTCACAGGGTCCAGTTGCACCACGATCCCCTCTAGCCCGTTAGATCCAGGGCACTCACGTTTGTGCCCAGTGTGCTTCAGGCTGACTGGGTCAAGGATTCAAACCATGGTTCCCATGTTGTAGCTTCCCTTGAGTGGTGTATTACTACTGCATCACGGGGCTGGCTCAGCATTGACAGTTTAAGCTAAGACTCTGGTATCACTTCTATTCAATTTTTTATTCATTTATAGTCTATCATATACCTGACTCTATAATATAAGTCCTTTATACATTGTCTCTAATGCTTAGATGAACCTACCAATTAGGGATTATAATCGTATTTAACATACGAGGAAAGGGGGGTCATGAACAGACTAGTTAGCCAAGTTTTGTCAATCAGTAAGTCCAAGAATGGGGATCTGAGCCCAAGCATATTTCACTCCAAAGGCTGAGCCTGGAGCAGTGCAGCGTGATAGCTGTTCTCATAGAGGTGTGTCCAAGGAGCTGTGGGATCTGGAGAAATGAGGGTATGCTCAATAGCCTGGAAAGCTTTCAGCTGAATGACGGAGGGTAAGACGCTAGTAGGTGAGGGACGCGCAAGGCATGTGCGGTAGGGTGAAGCATGGAAGGGCGTGCAGATCTCCGGGATAACAGAAGGCCTGCCTGGCTGACATTCAGATGGAACTGGCCTGACAAATCAGCCCCAACGAGAAAGGGCTCCTCAGTCACCAGGAACAGACTTTTACCCTGCAGGCACAGAGGGGCAACATGGATATCTGAGTTTTAGAAAATCAGTTTTGGAGCACCAGCAGATGGCATAATGGTTACATCATTGGATTCCCACATAGTTAACCACAGTTCGAATCCCAGACCCAGTGGCTTAAAACTCACTCTGAGCGTATGTACATGCATGCCCAAGATCCTGAGAGGAGAATGGAGGAGAAGGGATTGCAGGGTGGCAATCCCCCCCCCCGGGGGCGGGGGTGGGCAGTGATTTCTTGCTTTCTGTCTTTGTCTCTTCGGGCGAGTGCACACATCCTATAGCAAAAATCTCTATTAAAAAAAAAAAAAAAGGGAACCAGCAGTTAGTGAAATGGCTATGTCGCTGGACTCCCACGTAGTCAACCGCGGTTCACATCCCGGACCCGGTGGCTTAAAACTCACACCGGGCGCGTGTGTGTGTGTGCCCAAGATCCCAAGAAGAGAATGGAGGAGAAAGGATTGCGGCATGACCATTCTCCCTGGGGGGTGATTTCTCGCTTTCTGTCTCCATGTCTCTCTCTGTCTGTCTGACGAGCGCACGCGCCCTATAGCAAAAAACCTCTCCGAAAAAAAGAAGAAGAAAAGAAAATCAATTTTTGTGTAGATAATAGAGATAGTATGGGAGGAGGTAGGTAGGGAGCAGGAAGGATCAGGGAAAAAATAAACAAAACATTTAATAGACACAAAAATGAAAAGGTATCTGTTGATGATAATGTATGTGGTAATATCTTTGACTTGACTAATATGCACTGTACTCATGCTGGGAAAAACCAGGTTGTGTGCTGTAAGAATGTACAGTGACTAAATGTAAATAAAATAAATTAATAAGAAAATCACCTTTGGGAGAAGATCGCCGCATGACTTAAAGTACAGGCAGGAAGATCAATTACGATGCTACAACAATAGGCCAGACAGAAAGTTTCTATTCAGTGGTTGACCGGAGAGGAGGAGCGATGGATTTCCAAAGTATGGGAAGCAGAATAATTAGGACTTGATGACTATTAAATGTGAGATGAAATAAAGTATTGGCAAAGCCTCAGGCTTAGGGAACTGGTAGATGGCAATATACCATGAATGGGAATCAGAAATGAAAGCAAGAACTGACGAGAAGCGATGTTGAGCCACGCCAGGGATGTTTGCGTTCAAGGTCCTTGGGCCTTGCAGGGGGAGGGGCCTTAGAGAGGCCTGGTGTGGCGTATACCGACCTCCAGGGCTTTGACCAGCCTTGGCCATTCTGCTTCATTATTGCATCATTTGGTGTGCTCTGTAAGTTCTATTTAATTTCCCGTGTCCCTTTTGCAACTGTTTTAACAGTCTATTATCTCTGATTCCTACAGAAATAAATGATAAGTATTTGATATTTTCATTTGAACACTTAACAAGAGGAAGAAAACTTGTTTTACTCATTCTGTCTTTATCTGAGATTTTGCATGCCTTGACTGACTGTGTAAACCCTTTCGACATGTTAAATATGTTTAAGGTACTACGCATTCCATCACTAAGTGTAAGTCTCGCCCAGTTGTTGCCATATTATTATTACTTAATCTTTTAAAGCAATGAATAAAGAATTCATTAAACTGAAGAAATTAAACTGAAGAAGTGATCAACTCTTTCCTAATGATGGAAGTTACACTTTTGACTGTAAAATGATATGGCAGAGCCCCAAATATAGTACTTTCTGGAAATGTTTAATAATGTTATCATCAAATCTCTAAAAGAACAATATTGGAAGAAATCTTAGGAGTGACCTAATTGTATCTTTCAGTATTTCAGACTGAGTAAGCAAGACCAGAGGAGATTTAGTTAAATGTGGGGACCTGTATCCAGAAATGCAGACTGTATCTACGTCATGTCTTTCAGGAGGCTTCTTCTCTGTCAAGCTCTGTGCTTCTTCCTGTTGAAGGCTTCAGCCCATACTGTGGAGCTGAACAATATGTTTGGCCAGATCCAGTCACCTGGTTACCCAGACTCCTATCCAAGTGACTCGGAGGTGACTTGGAATATAACTGTCCCGGAGGGCTTTCGGATCAAGCTTTACTTCATGCACTTCAACTTGGAATCCTCCTACCTTTGTGAATATGACTATGTGAAGGTAAGACTCCCAGTGTTCTCCAAGTGAGCCAGGCTCTCTGTGGGGAGTTAGAGAAACCAAGATGAATTAGACACTGTCATTACCCTCATGGGGTGGCATTAGTGAGGGAGACACAGAGGTGACAATGTGATGAAGGAGGGTCAGGGGTGGTGTTCCAGGTGCAAGCTAAGTGGGTAAAACTAGACCAGACCATGTGAGAAAGTGAGGTGTGACTCGGGTAAATGCAGCGCGCTTTTTTTTTTAATGTTCTCAAAGCTGTTAATGTTTCCACATGCGTCTCTACTCCAAGATCTCAAGCAAAAAAGGGTAGTGACTCCAGAGTAAGCAGTAATCAGAGCCCTAATTATGCCCAAAGCTGAGGTGTTAGAAAGCATTGTCCAACCCCCCAAATAACGGTAATGTGTTTGGGAAGTCTAGGGCATGTGCTATTAACAGTGGGAGGTGAGGTTGGAGGGGCAGGTTAGGGTGTGATTCCACGGCCGTGAACGTCATGCTATAGTGTTTGCATTTTCACTGCAAAGGGCACAGTCAGGGAGAAATCGGAGATGATCACAGCATAGAATGCCTTTCCCTGGAATTGAGAAAAAACTCAAAAGAAAAAGCTACGGGTAGGCAACTGTTCTCTGTTAAAAGTGGAGCTGAAAAGGACCAGATTATTTTTAAGAGATCAAATTTATTAACGTGATCTCTAGTCCAAAGAAAATAAGGAGACCCAAGAACCTACTTTCTAAGCTCTCTGGCTTCTTGTAAGAGGTTCTCATTAAACAGCGCTGGAGTTGGCTTTGGGTATTTTTAGTCTCACTTTAAAAATTCAGCAAGAATAAGCGTGATATTAACTAGAATATGTGATTAACAGCAAAGTAGTGAGTTCATAAGGTGCTTTCATACATATAAACTCAGCCAAAGTTTAAAGCAATACTAGGAGGTCAGGAACAACTATTCCATCTCATAGACAATGAAGCAAACCCAAGCAGTTAAGCAACACAGCCAAGGTTGTACAGCTGGTAAGACCCACATCTTGCGACTTTGAATCCTATGCTTTTTGATCAACACCAAAGCTCACAAGCTGTGCTCCCCTGAGCCGCAGTACAGGTAGGGAGTGCAGGGACCACTGGAGAGGAGGAAGGAGGACCGACAAAAGCAGCTATGTGGGCCTTACTGTGCGCCAGCTCACCCATGGAGTGCCGCCATGGCGTATGTTGCGTCTGCAGGTAACACACCATGGTGCTCCACGTCAGGATGGTGTTCTCAGCCCTGGTGACCTTGTGAGCCAGGTGATTCTTTCTGTGGAAAGCTGTCTTGAGCACTGCAGAGTATCTGCCAGCATCCCTAGCTTCTACTCAGTAGATGGCAGTAGCAGCTCCCCTCCTGTTGTCTCCAGATGTTGCCAGTGTTCCTAAACCACAGCTGGGGAGGTGCTGCTCTCTTTGAATGCTCCATGCTAGAGATGATGGGAACACTCTGATACAAAAGATCGGGTCCCTCACAAAGAGATGAGCCTAGAAAGCAGGATCTCTGGGCTCACAGAGAAGTAATCTATTCGAGGCACCTGAGGGACTGAGCTGCCTACTTGAAGGGCCATGTAGTACCTGCATTTCTAAGTCAGACACATTTTCCAGTTCCTTTGGAAGAAGGGCTTAACATGAGGACAAGGGGAGCAGATACATTTCTCCACTTGTGCTTGCACAGTTGACTCAGAATATCTTGCTAGCACGGGCATTAGCCTTCCTGCAGAGGCTCCAGCAGTCCTGGGACGCGAGCAGTCCTCCCTTTGCAGGATGCTACACCCTCATCAACTGACAGCTGGTGCACACGGAGACAGGACCTATGCCCTTGTCCACACGTGTTCAGCAGTTTCCTTGGGAGAGTCAAGAATTCACAGAATGTCAGGCGGCAGGGCTGCTCTGGAGACTCGGCTCGTCCTCGATTGTTATTATTTTTGCTTTTAAAATATTTTTTCCTTAGTGAACATTTTCTTCTAACAAATCTTCAATTAGGCCCAATATAGAAAACAGACAGAGGTGGAGCTGCTCAGGTCCAAAGCGGCCCTGAAGCTTACTCTGCTCACTCATTCTTCCTTGATCACCCTGGAGCATCTTGAGGAATTACTCTCAAATTGGCCCCTGGTCAAGTTCCCTTAAGGCAGAAGAGGAGACTGAAAACCAGAGAAGAGGCAGAGGGCTAGCTATCTACCTCTGAATTCCCAAAGCCAGAAGCCTGACATGCATAGTTGAAACCTGTTCACTTTTTCTAATTGACCCCAACCCTAGTCATCAAAATATGTGTTTTTTCTGGCAGTGAATGAGAGAAAAGCTCTTCCCTTTCTATCGGAACAAAAGCATGAGTATGTCACGTGACTCTGGATAAGTCAACATCCCTCTCCCAAGTTCTGTTTTTTCATCTGTTAGAAGAGGGTGGGACAAGATGACCCCTAAAGTACCTTAAGTCCCAGCATTCTAATCCCAATCCTTTTACCAGAACTTTCCAAACGACCTCACTGAACCCTCATTATTCTAGTTAGAATAAGCCCAGAAAATGGTAATCGCATGTTTGTAACCGCCAACTTCTTCAAGTTGCACGGCCATAAACACTCCAGTTAGAGTCTGCAGTCTGGTGGGATGCTTTGGTGCCATAGTACTTGAATCAAACTTGTAAACCTATCCTGCCTGTCCTTTGCCAAGCAACTTGAGATACCCCTGATTTCCCGTTGACAGGATAACATGCCCTGTTTTGAGGCTTTTTTACTCTGTAATTGAATTCCCCTAACAGGCCTAGAAGTGGGTTTGAAGGACCTTCCAGCTCACAGTTACCCTTGCCAACCCAGAGCAAGCCCATAGCTGCCCTTCCCAGGCATGCCCAAGAGGGTGACATGGCAGAACTGCTGGCCTTGAACTGACCAGTCTGAGGAAGAGTGGGACCTTGGCTGATGACCGGATGCTCATGTTGGTGAAAGTTCCTCTTAGGTCTGATTTCCCGCAGCCCCTGGTCTTTAAGGCACGTGTGCATCCGGCACGGTGGCATCTGCCTCCCTGCAATGTGCATGGCAAATGTGTGGGTAGCTGCAGTGTACAGAAGAGGTGTGCGAGTCATGGCTGCTCAGTGTGGCAGGCCAAGGGCAGAGCACAGACCCTGCTGGACAGTGGAAAGGCCTCGTTCTGGTGTCATTCTACACTAACTAACCTTTGGCAGTGACTCTGCTTCCTCCTCTGTCAAATTCAGGGAGTCGAAAGAGATGATCTCTAAGATATACCTAACCCTGATGGCCTATTCACTAAGCCCTTAGAAATTACGGCCTACCTCCATCATCATCGTGTTCCAAAACCAGGAACGCTGATTCATTCACCAAAGTCATGCATGGGCCAAAATTTACATCTCAAGACTCTTAGTTCTTTCTTCCTTTAAATAAATTGAATTATAGCAGAGTTTCCACTTGTGAATGCTTAGGCTTTTAAGTTCTAATGTAAGACAAATATTGTCTATAGTCAAATTTACTCTTTAAAAAATCCCTTGAAGGGAACCAGCAGTTAGCATAATGGCTATGTCGCTGGACTCCCACGTAGTCGACCGTGGTTCATGTCCCGGACCCAGTGGCTTAAAACTCACGCCGGGCGCAAGTGCGTGCGTGCCCAAGATCCCAAGAGGAGAATGGAGGAGAAGGGATTGCAGCGTGGCCATCCCCCCTGGGAGGGGATTTCTCGCTTTCTGTCTCTCTGTCTCTCTCTGTCTGTCTGGCAAGCACACGTGCCCTATAGCAAAAACCTCTCAAAAAAAATATCCCTTAAATATAGTAGAGTACTATTTTTTAGTATGTCCAGAAAATACTTTTTCCCAGAAATGAAACAAATTACAGTACCAAATGAAGTGACCTACCTGTACTTAGAAAAGCACCATGGAGCTATGGTTACAGGGATACTTTTAAAAGTTTGTAGAAACATGTAATTAAAGTCCAAGCTTTTTGGTGAAAAAAAAATTAGACACCATGTTATTTCCATAATACCATTTGCTATGAACCTTTCGAAGATCCTTCATGTGTAAACAGGTATAGTTACTTAGAAACCAGAACCACCAAGTGAAGAGCAGATTCATATACTCATTTTTCTTTTGTTTTTGTTTTGGCCATAGGGCATATGCACTTGCCAGAGAGAGATGAAAAGGGAGAGAGAGTGGGAAAGTGAGACATCATTCCTTAGGGGCGATGGCCACACCGCAATCTCTTCCTTCTTTCTCCTCCTGGGACTTTGGACACGCACACTCAGTGTGATTTTCAAGCTTCCAAGTCTGGGACATGAACAGTGGTCGGCCCTGTGGGAATCTAGCATCTTAACTACCAGCACCTGCTGGCCCCCATGTACCCATTTTCACGTTTTCTGTATGGCATCTGTTCATTGGAAAAAGAGGCAAGAGTTACCTACATTCAGTCTTTATTCTATCTTTTCCTCCCTCTCTCTCATTGTATTTGCAAGTTCAGTTAGCATCAACTGTTCATATGCTACAGTGGCACTGTTCTCTCTTAGTCTGGGATTCTTGAGGTTTCACTATTCCTTTACTCCTTTCCACTGTTAGCTACTTAGTTCTTATTCTCATTCCTCTCATGTGGCCTATTTCAATCGCTTACTAAATGTCTACCAAATCTCAGTCCCTCCCCATTCTTGCACCCTCTATAACCATCCAGAGAGACTTTGTAAAAATACTGTTTTATTACGACACTCTCAAAATCTTTCAATGAATACATATTTTTTTAAGGAATAAAGCCCCAAAATTCTATTAAAAACCTATCATTAGCTAGGCATTATAGCAAAGACTGGGCCCAAAAAGATGGTTAGGACAGGTCACATCCTCAAGGAATTTACAGCATCATAGTGTACGAGCTATCACATAATTAGTAAAGTAAACCCAGACAAAGTCATGCAAGGACTATGAGGCAATATGTAAGCTCGGGAGTGGTGGTTTCTGAATGGTCAGGAAAGACTTCAGAAATAATTGATGGTTGAGATAAGTCT